AAAAAGATACCAAAATGAAATTTTCAGAAGTTGATGGATAATTAGTTTTTTAATCGATGTTAAGTTTTCAGGAAATTGAAAAAAAAAAGATTTTTTTTCCTTCTATGATACCTTAAAGGTGAAAAGTAATTGCTAATCAGTTCCGAAATAGCCAATTGGCGCAGGCGAAGAGGATTATTCACCTATTTGGAATATACTAATAAATGAAATTTACTCGTTGAAAACTTTGCGGTTTTTTTTACGATTAAGAACACGACGAAAAATCATTAAGAATTGAAAAACCTTCATCCTCATTTAGAAAAATGCAGGATCCGAAAGTTGACCTTTACGAAGTAAAAGCTGACGTTTCGAGCGTTAGCCCTTAGTCAGAGCGAATCGCAAGAGACGAAGGGCTAACGCTCGAAACTTCAGCCTTTAAACTCTTTACGGTGACCAATTTACGTTATCAACTCAGTTGATAATACGAAATTACCCTGTCATACTCTCTCACTGACTCAGCACCGCAGTTTCCTGAGGAACTGAACCCCCTTAACAAAGCATAGCTGCATACTACCCATTGCTTTGTTTCTTATTCAATTAAAGAGATACAATGAAAAAGCAATCTTCAGAAGCCAGGATGGCTATGGAAAACTGCTGTTTACCCAAAATATTTCTTTATTTTCTTGCATGAATTGTTCTTATTGGTAGTCAGTTAAAGAGCAGGTCTTTTAAGTTGGAAAATGTAACACATGATCTAAAAAAATATTTGCAACGTGAACTAATTATGTTAAGGTCCTTTTAAAACGGAATTCTCCGTGTACATAAACATCGAAAATTAAAACTTATGCGGTTTGTTCTCACTGAGGATTTATCTAAATATACGAAGTAGAGAAATTCCTAAAACCAGAATTTTGTGAAAGGAAAAGGTCGGAAATTTTTGCCATATTTGATAAATCAGTTCATGCATACTGTTAAGAATGGGCCTTTGATTGCTGGAGCGATTTTCATCTGCAAAAACTCCTTTTGTAATATTTGACAAAACCATGATTTAGTCCATTTTTCAACAGTATTTCCCTAAGATTACGAAATTCCCAAGCATGTTCTTTGGTCCTAGATCGTGTTCGTCACATGCTGTTAAAGTTTCTCTTCGCAGAATGTCTATGCTCTTCTCATTTCTGGCGGCACAAGTATGCGACATACTTGTTTCGCATCAACCACATACTCTTTTCCGTCAAAATTATTTTCCGTCTCAACTATTTTAATGGTCTTAAAAATTGTTCCCAAAGCTAATTTTGTGATTAATTTTCCCCCTCTTAGACAAATTAACCCTTTGTACCTTAACATTAGTATCCATGTTCTCAATACTTTCCTCTCTAAATCTCTTATGGTACTGACAAGGAGAATTGGTTTGACAATCAGGAGCTTTTTAAATTGGTGATAATTTCCTTTCTGTTCTTGACCTTTGTATTTAATTCGAGGAAGATGTTGTAAAGAAAAATTAATTAGAAGCCCGTCACTCTTAGAGATCAAAGAGTCGTCCATCCGAATACTGTTAACGCCCGTAATCATGGTCGTTACCTCGTGATACATCCTCAACGATTTAAAAACGATTTAAATATAGCTGTGTACGTTCTGAGAAAAATTCAAGTTTTCCTCGCTCTTAACTCTGAAATGTGAACTTCTTCATCTCTTTCACTGTGATATGATTTATTCTACTCCAGGTCAGGAACAAAGGACAGACGTCATCAAAGATAATCTCAACCCTGAATGGAACAAGGTATAGGTTTATATCGGTGACTTTACTACTGCCATAATCCAGATATCACTTCTTATCTCTCTCTACCGCAGAATTTGAATTTCTGATTTCTGACCTTATTCTCGGAGAATCAGCTGAGGAAAAGTCAGACTTCTCGTCACATATATTCTTGAAAACGTATCGATATTGTGAGGAGAAATTCCATTTTAGTCACTCCCAGGAGTGGATACGACCACACAACTCGAACGAAAAGCTTTTCATTCTTTGCTTATGTACTGATGTATTTGGTTTGTTTAGGAGTTCGAATATGATCTCAATGGAAAGGAGTTGTCAGCTCAAGAGACGCTTCTTTTCAAGGTTAAAGACTGGGAGAAAATAACAGCCAATCGGTAATTACTTGCTCATTTCTAATTGCACTCTTCTCTTGACAATATCTAACGATTGGCTAATGATCCAAAGATGTCGCGTGATAGTTAATGAGGGCGATGCCTGAATCAACTATCTCAAATAAAAATCAAGATAAAACAATCTTTTTGTTTTGCAACAACAAGACAGGCGCATGTTTCTATCTTATTTTGTTTACGACCGCACATAGTGAGGCTATCTACTTTACTTACTATCTATCAAGAAATCGATAGTGAATAGCGCGGCCAATCAGATTGCAGCCGGATTTGTGGCCAATCAGGTTGTAGCATTTGTGGGAGAACGCCAATAGATCTACACACCTGTACAGTTCTGGAATGGCATGTTAAGAACACGCTCCTTTAATTCTTCGTCGATAACGGAAAAAAGGTTAACAGACAATTTTGTTAGGGTGGTCTCCGAAGCAAAATTTCAAACTAAACTAAGTAGAAACATATAGTCATGAATCCTAGCAAATATTCAAGATAACAATCAAATAGAGGAAATTCCTTAGTCCCGAAAGCAACGTAAGTTGTCATGAGTTGCAACCAATCAAAGAAAAAGTCAGAGATCATTCTCTGATTTTTCTCATCTCGCTATTGAAAAATAAACATTTAAATTTGCTGAACAAGTTTCTTGTGCACCTCTCGCACACCTGGCATGTTGTGTTCTTTCGAGCGCTTCTTTTCTATTTTCAAAGCTTGAAAGACTCAAAACGGTTTATTGCTGAACTGACCTCGGTGTATTGTTTGATGTGTCACGCACAAAAATTTCACCACAGTTTGAGCATGCTGTGCTGTTTTCCTGCTGACGTTTAATGAGTATCCTCCTGATCGGATATTTTCTTCGAAAAAAGGCATGTTTGTAAAAAGGAACGTTTGTTTTACGACTGATTAACGAAATTGCAGAAAATTAATCAAACCTCTTCCTCCTACAGCCTTCTTGGTTCAGCCACAGTTCCCTTAAACAATTTGGTCCGCTCCAAAAGTAAGTCTGTGGACACCGAGGTTAATTTGGTAGATGGCGAACAAAGAGCCACCCCCGTAAGTACTATTTTGTAATGATCTTCATGAAAAAGCTAATCCAAGAAGCAAGGAAGAGAAAGCTTAGACTGTTGACACCCTGGTGACCCGAACCTCCCGTTAAGAAGTTCAGGTTTTTAGTACACTCAGACAACCCCTTCGTCAAAAACACCCCAGCCTCCCCCTCTCCCCCAGACCCCTCCGATCCCTGATGACACACTCTAAAATGAGAATCTTTATTACCACTCATTTTTTATCATAGCGTTGCAATTAAGAAAAGTTCTTGCTTTTGAGAAAATGATCTAATTTGCAGTTCTTTGAAATATTGGAACTGATTTGGTTCATTCGAAATTCCATTACGTTATTTTTTATAACGCTTACATTGACTAAACTTGTTACATAATTTCACACCCAGGCTAAACTTAAGATCAGCTTATCTTACGACCCTCCTCCATCCGCCACCAAAGGAGAGGCACAGGAAGGTGGTATTGAGGCGGGTGAAGAAGTGAAAGAATTTGAAACTACTGGAGGAGAACCAGGGAAAGTAGGAGTTAAAAGGTAAGTTCTCTTCTGAAAAGTAGTCAATGGCTTGGCTATGTGCGATGATGCGTTGCTCCACAGCAGGTTAGATAGACTGTTTTGGTGCTTCAGGGGAGATGACTTTTTTTTTGTTAGCTTGCTTTAATGGCCGGTGAGTCAGTTGGCATTCGCTTATAACGCTATAAAAGTTTAATCACTGGTTGACCGACCATGTTTGCAAGCCACGAGGGGAAATAATTCTCTGATTTCTTCTGCAAACTGAAATGTAGCAGGACAACGATGAAGCAGCCATTTGATTAATTCGGGTGGTAAGAAAGGAATCTAACAGAGCACCAGTTGCGCCTACCATTGACATATTTTTGTCCGGCTGATAAGGAAAAACACGATGTAGTATTTGAGAAAAGGGAACAGGGATAAATCAAAACTGACGTAGCGTTTTGCATTTATGCGGCCTGTTAACCCTTTACAGCCTTACATCAGTATGCATACTCTCCATACTGTTCCTTATACATTTCCTAAGATCTTTACAAGGAGATTTTGATTTGGTTCAGGGGTTATATTGTAAGCAGAAAATAGATAGTTACTCTTGAATGTCAGAGGATTAACATAAATCGTCATATTGCGTTTGTAAGTAGACCCCATGAAGAGTGCCATTGAAAATGTCCCACTTTTTGTATGCGCCCTTTGCCATCAATACAAAAAGTGTGATCTTTAATAAATTTTTCGAAACACGAGTGATGGTCAGGTGAGTTCATAGGTAGCCCCCCCCCCCACCCCTTTTGAAATAGCCAGTTCGTGCTTCAATGTCGAAATGAGTAAAATTCTTTCATTTCCAATGCTTCTAACATTCCAAGATGATCAGTTATTGAAAACCGAATTACATTTTCAGGACCAGACGTGGACAGAAGGGAAAGGCGTTATCAAATAAGCCTCAGGATTTTCAGGTAAGAAATATAATACAAATATATATAATGAAAACATTTCAAATCGCTACTCTCTTACAGCTGAGGTTTTTCTCTTAAGATATTTCACACATAATAACTTTTGCTGTGTGATTTGAAACAGATACGTGTAAAGGTATTTGAAGCTCGTCAGTTAACAGGAGGTAACATCCACCCTGTTGTTCGAGTGAGCGTGGCTGATCAAGACCGAGACACAAAAATCAAGAAATGCACAAACAATCCGGCATTTAACGAGGTTGGTCATGTGATCATTGTTGCATGGACTGGACATGTCACAAACTTACGAGAATAAATCTAAGAGCTAAAAGCGTCATTTTCTTCAATTCCATCATTTCATACAGAATTTCTCCTTCAATTTTCACTCTACACCCATGGACTTGTTTGAAGAAACAGTGTCGTTTGAGGTCAGTAAACAGGGAACCCAACACTGATGAACCACTTCATCGGTATTGTTAACCCCTTGTTGTTATTGTAAACGGCAGGATGCAAGTTCTCCGTGCTATTCTCAATATATTTCCTATGTTACCTCCAGGGAGTATTTTTTAACTATCAGGAGCTTCTTCAGTTGATGATATTTCCTTTCTTCTAATCACCTTTACATTTGATTCAAGGATGATACTGTTAGTGTACGGAGAAATTCGAAGCAGTCACTCTTAGGGGTAAAGCGCTGGTTCATATTTTTTTTCGAGTCCTGCAAGTTAAGATGATTTGAATTAAGCGCTTCTAAGTATAAGCTTTGGTTTTTTCTTTTCTAGTGGATGACGTCTTTTTTGTACGAATGTCTTGTGTTTGATTGTTTGTTTTAAATTAAACAATGCCAGCTTGCAAGGCGTAAAAAAAAAGTCCAGTCTTTATATCATAATATTAATAACCATGTCCAAATATTCATTTTACTTTATCTCTTTCTTCCTTTAGGTTTTCGACTCCAGAAAGTACCGTGCAGACTCACTACTTGGTTATTTCGAGGTTAGCTAGGTTAAATTTTCAGAAATGAGGAAAACACAATGAACACTCGATACATGTAGCTATTCCTTACGTTTATGATTTTGGATAAATAATTGCGACAAATATTAAGTTGATAAGCTATGAAATGGTTGCCCAAAGCGGGGAAGCCAGTTGAGTAAAGATCAAACTGAACAAAGCAAATTTTCCGCACGTTAGTACTGTAACATGATCAATCGAGGTAGTTGTGTCATATGTTTCTCTTGTATTACTCTGCATAAAAAAACAACTTAGAACGACCTGTTAAGAAACATTGTGTGCTTCGTACTAAAAACGTAGCCTGATATGACTGCTTTTTTTGTGTCAATTTGGAATCGAATTCTGCCTTCCATGTTATCAGTTCCGGCGGCGCTCTAACATTGCTGTCTAACTTATATCGCTTGCCTTAGAGTTACGAGTAAATATTTTTTTCCAGCTTGACATCTATTCAATATACGACATGCCAGGTAAGTGGTTTGATGAAGTAACGTTAGACTCTACATGGCTGGCTTTTAAGGTATTGTTAGCCATCTCTGTGTTTGATCTGGATCAGCTTTGATGTTGCCGACGAAGATTAGGACGATCCAGCTAATCTTCAGACATTTAGGCAACATAAGAACATACATTTTTGCAGACTTGAGACCTCATTTATTTATCGTCATAAATTATCATTTTTTTTAAACCTTTGACAGTTAAAAATTCAATCAATAAAATCCTCTTTATCACAGTGGATTTTTCGTATTTCATCCCTCGATACCGAGAGAATATGTCTCTATGGAGCAATAGTATACATGTGCATAATGAGATATCTTAAAAAGATAAAACATTATTCTTTTTGCTATCTCAATTTTAAGGTCATTCTTTTATTCGTAAATGGATGTTGTTAAGCAATCCTAAAGACAAAGGAGGCGACGAAACAGAAGAGGTAGGTTCATTTATTTCCTTTTAAAAACAGGCCAGCTGCCCCATAATAGAACCAATTTATGAGGCCAACCAGACGTTTCTATGAGAATCAGAGCTCTGATAAACAAAAAGCGCCGATGCAAGATTGAAGGGCATATGTTAGGAAAACATAAAATGCAGCTTGAAGTACATAAAATACGATGACGAAACAAGCCCGTTGCCATTAGGAAGGTTTTGGCGGGTGGGATGAATGCCTACCACCCCCTCCACTCTCCCCCACCAAAACAAAAACCTAATGGACAATGGAAAATGGTACAGACCCAAAACATGGTGAGCGGGAATGGAAATAGTGGCAGAGAGGAAAAATAACATGATACCGTTTGCCCTAATAAGTCTCTGAAGTTCTGACATGTTTTTTTTCGCTGATTTTTTTTCTTTTAATTGATGAACAGAAAAGCGCAAAAGGAGTTCGAGGAACTTCTAGAGGAGGCTCACCATCAGTAAGTGCGATCATACAAAAATATGTTTATAATCCTTGTGGAGATTTTAAGAAGCCTAACGTAAAGCCGATAACACATTTTCATCTCTTACACGTTTGATTATAGGGTTACCTAAAAGCGACAGTAACCGTGCTGGGACCTGGAGACAAACCACCGGTAAAAAAAACTATAAATCTTAACTCTTGCCGAAACTTCGTCCTATTGCTGGTTCCCTCAAGATATAGACACAACTTTCTCTCCAGCGTTGCGTTAAATTTGTGTAATTGATTAATGTACACGTCCGATCATGGTCACCTGCGGTTCCGAAACAGAAAAACATTAACTTCGCCCAAGAAAATGGCGCAGGAAATTAAACCTGATGAGAGCCATCAAATGTAATGGCGATGTTCCATTGCTAATTAAGAAAAGGGAGATAACAAATTTATCATGAGGAAAGTTGTTAAAAAGAAGACATAAGTTGAACCCAAACGAAATCACAAAAGTACTTTCAGACAAATCCTTTGCAGCTATGTGAAGCAACTGTAATTAAGTTTTATTTTTTTTACAAGAACTTTTTATTCTCAGCCTCTGTCTAAGCTCGCCGGAGAGGACAGTTCTGACGACATTGAGGCGTGAGTAACTTTATGAATTTAATAAGAAATTTTACAAATTTATCTTAAAAGCTCTCTCATATACTTTCCTTTTCTCTCATGTCATGTTTCCCGAAGAATACTAATTATCTGCTCGGTGCCAGTTTGTCGTTCTTGTACAGTTTGTCCTATCACTTTCTAACAAAAGATCGCAAACTTAATTATGTTTTTGCTTTTGCGAAGGATTTGCAGTGACATAAGATGACTTTTTAAAACGAATATATGAGCTACATCATGATCCTGAGTAACTAAGGCAAAAGTCAATCTATTTTAAGAGTCGATGGCTATGTGCTGTTACGCGAACTTTGGGTCAACAATCGTTATTTATGAAGTAACTACCTATGCATGCATTCGCACCGTAGTTATTTGGTATCGTTATATTGCGAAATATTTCATAGCTTACGAACAAGTCCTCAATAATTAGCTCTTCAGGACGCGCGTTTCTCTACCAGCAGGAAGATTTGAGACGAGTCAAGGAGAGGTTTGACAGGGGTCTGGTGCTACAACTAACCAGGCCCCTTATAGACGTCTCGCCGGTTCTCGTTGCTCAAACTGTAATACTATTATCCCGCGAGCGCGGAGAAGCTGGTGCCGAAGTGCTTATAATGAGGAAACGAGGGGTTAGATAGAGTAGTCTATACGTAGACTACTATATACTTAGCCTATGGAATTCATCAAACACTTGGCAATCACAAAAGCCGTGAAAGTCGCTGAAACATTTTTTCGTTTTAGCTTGGTTGGTTTTTTTTTGTTGTTTGTCAGTTTCCTTAGTTTGATTTGTTCCTTTCATATCGATTATTTTTTTTACAGTAATCTCCTTAGGCCTGCTGGAGTCGGTCTTCAAGACGCAGTTTTTACTTTCAAAGTTTATCGAGCGGAGGATCTTCCTCAGAGTAAGTTAATTAGGTAGTGTTATCAGTTATGGGACGAATAATTACAGGTTCTCCAGAGAGAATTTTTGTACACCGAAAATAAAATCGTAATGTTTTAGCTAAAAAAAATTACCACTAAAAATTATGCGATGTAAAGTAGCAAAATAGTAGTATTTAGAGCTCTAACATGATGATCATAGAATACAACTGTGCCGTCGGTCGTTCAGCTCGAGAACTATCGAGAAAGAGAGATGCCAGAAAAAAAAAATGGTACAACCCAAAGATGTGGCTCTAATTTGTCTAATTTTGTGTTTGTAGTGGATACAGCTGTGATGCAAGGTGTCAAGAAATTTTTCAACATGCAACAGGTAATACTCTGTCATCAGACGCAAACAAAAGATAGAATAAAAAGCAGAACAAAAGTCAAATCCTATTTTTTTCGATAGGAGGATGAAAAGCTTGTGGATCCCTACGTTCTATTTCAGTTTTGTGGAAAAGAGGTATTGTACATGTTTCTTTGTGTTTGTCATAATCTGATCAGATTAACCTTCTACATGGAAACAATGCTGGCTCGCAAGGAAGTTTTCGCTTACGTCTGTGATGAGAAGCTACTTTTAAAAAGTGACTCTCTAAGCCCATACCTGTCGTGTTAACCACGAGGAAAAATAATTTGAAAGCCGGTACGACTGCTTGTTGTAAGTGCAAAAGGTATGACTGCAACAACAACAACAACAGCGTTAACAACAACAATAACAACAACAGCATTCACAAAAAACAACAACAACAACAATAATAACAACGACAAAAACAACAGCATCATCAACAACAACAACAGATATAATTACAAATACAGCCAAAAAAACAGCATTATCAACAATAACAACGTCGACAACGACAATAACAATACAACAACAACAAAAACAACAAAGTGGGACTTACAGACTCATAAAATCCACGTCCTCTTTGGAACGTCTTTCTAAATCCGACAATATGCATGAAAATAGCAATAATCAACGGATGGAGGCAAAGTATTTCGTTTCTCTTGATACAGAATCGCACCTCTGTCAAATACAAGACAGACTGTCCAGAATTTAAGGAGATCATCAAAGTTCCTTTCATGGTAAGAGTAAACAATTTAATCGGTTGTTTACAACCTTATAAACTATATTCTTTCGTAAGGGTGAGATCTTCTCCTTCTGTTTTTGTCTTATACAGTTTAGTTTATTGTTCATCTCTTCTAATAAAAATTTCAGGAAATTCACTTGAAAATTTCTTTTACAGACGAAATCTTTCAAATCAAATCATTCCTGTCGACTGTATCGTTTAAAAATTTTCTCTCCTTCAGTTTCCATCAATGTGTCAGAGAGTGAAAATCCAAATGTTCGACTGGTGAGTGAATAAGCTAACCAAAACTACACTCTTTACTCTTAAGCCTCCTCCACACCAATATCTTTTGATGCGTTTTTTGCCATCATCTACACTGAAACATTCGAAAACGCCCATGAAAATAGAGTCTTTCGAAAACAGTTTCGAAAGGCCTCATCTCAACCTAGGCGTTCTTGTTCGAGAATGCATATTGCTTTACAGCGTTTTTGCTTATCATCCAACTAAATCGCAACAACGCTGATAAAAACGTTTTCAAGGGTAAAGTGTTTTGAAAATGCATCTTCCTTTAAAGGCTCCGTTTTTTGAAAAACCTGTACCGAAAAATGGGTCACTCCTTTTCATTTTCATTTGCATTTCTAAGCGTTCTTGTGCGTGCGATAAACACAAAATGTATGCGTTTTCAAATGAAGATTCGCTTATGTGGACAGTTCTAGTGTGGGTGAATATTAAGTCCTTCACTTTGCTTGGGACGTTGCCAAACATTTTTGAAAAACGTTTATTGTCGTCGAGCCCCTTAACTTATACGGGTGTTATGTATCAAGGAATGAGCATGTTTGCAATACTCAAACACAAGAAATTATAGGGACGTACGATTAACAGTATACAAACAGCAATAGGGAAAATTAATCGAGGCAAGGTATAATGGTACTAGATAAGAAAGCGTGCCTCCTTTGATTCGAGAATTATATACATTAGAGAACTTAACACACTGTAAAGGTAAAATGTCTCTCTAAAAGACAATTTGTACATTCAAGAATGCATTAGCAGGTTCTTGGGAATGTTGCTTGAAAGTTCGTATTTTTTTCCTTCAGGGATCGTCTAACTGATGATGATTGTATTGCAACTACTTTTCTTTCTCTTGCTTCGATGTCTGGACAAGGAGAAGAAGGTTACATGATATAGTCTGCATGACATGATAAAAATCTACGTTATCTTTCTATTTTCCTCAAATTGTTCGTTTTTTATCAATTCATTTCCTTTATTGACTACTTTATCTGCAACTAATGAGCGAATAATTTGTCAATGTCTAGGATTTCTTCCAACGTTTGGTCCTTGTTGGTTAAATTTTTATGGTTCCCCGAGGGAGTTTTCTGAGCTTCCAGATGAGCAGGAAGATCTAAATGATGGAAAGGTGCTTGAAACATTATTTATATAGTTGTGTTGTGCATTGTCAAGTAG